AGTTATTGGACTAATTTCATAAGGAATTTTTAAAGTACCTAAGGATGATAAGCGAGTATACTTCTAATTGACACTGAACTTTAAAAATAATAACTGTGCCAGTGAGTGTGATGCTATACCATAAAACTACTTTAATAAACTTAAAGTGCTTTATTAACCAGTTATTGGACTAATTTCATAAGGAATTTTTAAAGTACCTAAGGATGATAAGCGAGTATACTTCTAATTGACACTGAACTTTAAAAATAATAACTGTGCCAGTGAGTGTGATGCTATACCATAAAACTACTTTAATAAACTTAAAGTGCTTTATTAACCAGTTATTGGACTAATTTCATAAGGAATTTTTAAAGTACCTAAGGATGATAAGCGAGTATACTTCTAATTGACACTGAACTTTAAAAATAATAACTGTGCCAGTGAGTGTGATGCTATACCATAAAACTACTTTAATAAACTTAAAGTGCTTTATTAACCAGTTATTGGACTAATTTCATAAGGAATTTTTAAAGTACCTAAGGATGATAAGCGAGTATACTTCTAATTGACACTGAACTTTAAAAATAATAACTGTGCCAGTGAGTGTGATGCTATACCATAAAACTACTTTAATAAACTTAAAGTGCTTTATTAACCAGTTATTGGACTAATTTCATAAGGAATTTTTAAAGTACCTAAGGATGATAAGCGAGTATACTTCTAATTGACACTGAACTTTAAAAATAATAACTGTGCCAGTGAGTGTGATGCTATACCATAAAACTACTTTAATAAACTTAAAGTGCTTTATTAACCAGTTATTGGACTAATTTCATAAGGAATTTTTAAAGTACCTAAGGATGATAAGCGAGTATACTTCTAATTGACACTGAACTTTAAAAATAATAACTGTGCCAGTGAGTGTGATGCTATACCATAAAACTACTTTAATAAACTTAAAGTGCTTTATTAACCAGTTATTGGACTAATTTCATAAGGAATTTTTAAAGTACCTAAGGATGATAAGCGAGTATACTTCTAATTGACACTGAACTTTAAAAATAATAACTGTGCCAGTGAGTGTGATGCTATACCATAAAACTACTTTAATAAACTTAAAGTGCTTTATTAACCAGTTATTGGACTAATTTCATAAGGAATTTTTAAAGTACCTAAGGATGATAAGCGAGTATACTTCTAATTGACACTGAACTTTAAAAATAATAACTGTGCCAGTGAGTGTGATGCTATACCATAAAACTACTTTAATAAACTTAAAGTGCTTTATTAACCAGTTATTGGACTAATTTCATAAGGAATTTTTAAAGTACCTAAGGATGATAAGCGAGTATACTTCTAATTGACACTGAACTTTAAAAATAATAACTGTGCCAGTGAGTGTGATGCTATACCATAAAACTACTTTAATAAACTTAAAGTGCTTTATTAACCAGTTATTGGACTAATTTCATAAGGAATTTTTAAAGTACCTAAGGATGATAAGCGAGTATACTTCTAATTGACACTGAACTTTAAAAATAATAACTGTGCCAGTGAGTGTGATGCTATACCATAAAACTACTTTAATAAACTTAAAGTGCTTTATTAACCAGTTATTGGACTAATTTCATAAGGAATTTTTAAAGTACCTAAGGATGATAAGCGAGTATACTTCTAATTGACACTGAACTTTAAAAATAATAACTGTGCCAGTGAGTGTGATGCTATACCATAAAACTACTTTAATAAACTTAAAGTGCTTTATTAACCAGTTATTGGACTAATTTCATAAGGAATTTTTAAAGTACCTAAGGATGATAAGCGAGTATACTTCTAATTGACACTGAACTTTAAAAATAATAACTGTGCCAGTGAGTGTGATGCTATACCATAAAACTACTTTAATAAACTTAAAGTGCTTTATTAACCAGTTATTGGACTAATTTCATAAGGAATTTTTAAAGTACCTAAGGATGATAAGCGAGTATACTTCTAATTGACACTGAACTTTAAAAATAATAACTGTGCCAGTGAGTGTGATGCTATACCATAAAACTACTTTAATAAACTTAAAGTGCTTTATTAACCAGTTATTGGACTAATTTCATAAGGAATTTTTAAAGTACCTAAGGATGATAAGCGAGTATACTTCTAATTGACACTGAACTTTAAAAATAATAACTGTGCCAGTGAGTGTGATGCTATACCATAAAACTACTTTAATAAACTTAAAGTGCTTTATTAACCAGTTATTGGACTAATTTCATAAGGAATTTTTAAAGTACCTAAGGATGATAAGCGAGTATACTTCTAATTGACACTGAACTTTAAAAATAATAACTGTGCCAGTGAGTGTGATGCTATACCATAAAACTACTTTAATAAACTTAAAGTGCTTTATTAACCAGTTATTGGACTAATTTCATAAGGAATTTTTAAAGTACCTAAGGATGATAAGCGAGTATACTTCTAATTGACACTGAACTTTAAAAATAATAACTGTGCCAGTGAGTGTGATGCTATACCATAAAACTACTTTAATAAACTTAAAGTGCTTTATTAACCAGTTATTGGACTAATTTCATAAGGAATTTTTAAAGTACCTAAGGATGATAAGCGAGTATACTTCTAATTGAAATCTTAACTCGTATCTATACCCGATTACGGCGTTGTTATCCCTGAAGACTAAAATACAACTTCTTCTGGTCAGTTAGTCAGTCCGTGAGAACGAAGTCTTTCCCCGTTTGAGCCGAACCATACGTGCTTCGTTAATGGGACAACCGGAATACAACTAGCGTGGTTCTACCAGGTAAGAGGTTTGTCTACGCCATATCATCGTTGTATAATGAAACTGTAGGCAGAGTGAAAACTAAAAGTGAAATTGCGTGTGAAAAGTTTGCAGTGTTAATACTCGTATCTTTGTGAGTATCTATGTCTAGAAGACACAAAAAACCACCAAAAAACTACCGTTTCCCTACTAGTGTTCCTTATATTTGTATTAATTATGTCTTTTTAACCGTTACAGCCTATTAAACTCCACTGGTGAACATATGCCTTCCCCATAGGTTGCCTCATAGGAGGGGATATTTGCCATAGTTGCCACGCTTGGCAAGCGAGTTTGTAACCGCAGTTTTTTTTGTATTTTAAGTCGTTATTAGGAAGACACTGCTGCCCATTAACTGATTTGGTTCCCTCTGTCGCCTCTTACGACACCCAAGGGATGATATGGGGTAGTGGATATTCTGACACCGCCACTACACGGCTTGAAGCGTATCAAAATTCAAATATTTACTTTCTAAATTAAATGAAAAATAATGTACCTACTTAATATTTGTTTTCTTAATTTTTAATAAGTATCATAAGTATCAATATTATATTTATAAGTAAAGCTGATAAATAAACACACAATCAACCTAATAGTAAGAAAGTGCTGTAGCCCATACTTAAATATTCGTATTTACATTCATCCTTGATTAAGAATAAAAACAATGTCACGCCGGTTAATTATACTTACGATGGAATACCTACTACCATTGAAAAGGGTCTCCGGTTCTCGTCACTACACGTAAAACAGCATTATGCTGTTACTTTATACTGGTATTAAGCAAGCGCGTCGTCTCACCCAGGTCGAGCCAACCCATTCAAGTTTCAGTATTAACAGCTGCTGTGTGCCTCTACAACTCAAAAACCGCTGAAAAATCTTTATAAGAACCCATATAGATTAAAACCATTTGCTTGAAAACTATTTTAAGTATATAATGTATTTACAAAATTTCGTAGGTATCTGGTAACTGGATAAAACATGCGTTGAACACTTGTTAAGCATATTAAGCAACACCGAAGGCTGATGCAGTTACGCATCATTGAAGTTTTATCTTATCACGAAATTGCATGAATTTGTTCGTCCAATACCTAATGTTTTTGATAAAACGCTTATCATTAGGAAATTGGTTTATATCAAACTACGTATTTAACAACTTTGTTTTATTTTCGAACACAAATTAACGAAAGGAAGGCCATTCAATTATTATATACTGAACGTCTAATGTGACCAAAACGAGCCATGAAAACGTTTATATAATTAGGTACCTATGTGTAAAAAAAAAAAGAACTCTAGATCAGGAGGGATTCCCAAACTATTTTGGGAAAGATACCCCTATTCAAAAATGAACTGATACCTCAGACCCCCAGAGCCAAATTACTTTAAACATCCTATTTCTAGGTTTTTCCCCATTCATACAAAATACTTACCAATTTAAAAACTTTGCGTTTGGTTGAGTGAACTTGACATAATTTTCTCATCAAAATTCATCAAAATAAATAGACATAAAATTCAGTAAATATTAAATAATATTAATAAATTAATATTTATAAGCAATTTATTTTATAAATTAATAAGTAATTAAAAATTAATAGAGGTCAATTTTTAGTCCTCATCGACCCCCAAAGTCAGTTTTCGTTTATTCAGACCCCTGGTAAACCGATTTCGACCCCAAGGGGACGATATCTACCACTTTGGGAATCCCTGCTCTAGATGATGAATGAGCGTTACAAAAATGGGGTGCGCTCCATCGCGAGAGCTACTCAAAATTACCAAAATATTTCCCCCGCGATGACTTTCTGGATTTCAAACTAAAACAAAACTATAACTACTTATAATTACATATTATGTAGATTTATCCGTGAATAGTGTATATCGTTAAACGTAAAATTATACACATTTTTATTTATAATTTCAAAAATATGATGTCATAAATAAAATCAATTTTACAAAAAATAGGTTTACATTTTATCACACTTGTTTTGGACTAATTAACAAATTTTTAATTAATTCCTGCAACAGATAGTACCTACCTAATATATTGAGGATATTTACTGTATAAATTTATTACTTTAAATAAAAATAAAAAAGGTTTTAGAATTCCTTAAATCTTCTTTATAATATTACGGTGTTTTGGAAACAAAAAATGTAATATTTTTAAATGAAGTGCATAATATGTAATTTAGTATTTAATACTCACAAAGAAGCTGCAAGAGATCACTTAAACTAGCTAAACGATGAGGGGAACAAGCTACACGTCCGGTTTCCGCACTATACACCTATGCTGCTAAGCCTATGCAAACCGCTTAGCCGCTAACGAACAAACAACACTGCTTCTATGCTCGTCAGAGAGTAGTATCACGTATAATATTATATTTATTCCTTGATCGTACGTCTGCCGACAAATCGCGATTGCGACAGATTGAACACGGTACGCATAGCGCATGCGCGTTTAGGCCTCACTTGCGCCATTTTTGTTTTTCGAATCTCTACTAAACACATCCCATCCCATGAATGCTAGATTGCTGTTTAGTTCAGTAAATGCCCTAGTTTTTCTTTAACGACTCAACGTTACGGCGCCATTCGAAGTTTGCACTGTTCTATTTTGAATTGAAGCCAGCAAAGCAAGTTTGAAGAGTATTATATTATGAGGGTCGTTTCAAGAGCCTCGTTTTTATAAGGTGGTAATATAGAAAGTTTTTTTTGAATAAACACAGCCCACCTGATGGATAGTGGATGCTGTGGCCCATAGACATCTACATATATCCTTGATTAAGAATCAAGAATTAAAATGTAGATGCATTGTCACCCCTAAGGACTAAGGTGGAATGCCTCGTATCCAGTAAAATGGGTCTCCGGTTCTCTACACTCACCATACGAAAAACAGCAGCTTTGAACTGTTTTTTATTTTTACGCTGGTATTCTGTGAGAGCGCGGTCCTTCCCGTCGAGCCGATCTATTCGTGCTACAAGTGTAACATAGCTACAGCATAGCTTTACCAAGTATAAAGTATTTATGTTACTTACTCTTTTATAAATAGTTACTTATCTTAAGTAACAAACATTTAAACTAACATTTTTGAGTAACGCAAAGATAAAGTCGTACACTCATTTAAAATATTCTACACACGCTGTTTCTGAATACTCTAAACTACACTAACTTTGTAATGGCGGTGTAAGAGTATCCAATAACCTCTAAGCCATATCCACCCGTGGGTGTCGTAAAAGGCGACAGAGGGAAACAAAAATCAGAGAGAAACAAAAATCAGGCAGCAGCAACTTTCAGATCCATAAAAACCCGCGGTAAAGAACACATAGCTGATGTGAAGAAACGACGCTCAGGGAAGTCTGCAGTCTGTGAACACGTACAGGATAGCCCCCGTCACTACATTAGATTTGATAGACCACAAATCCTCGCTAAAGAACACGGATTCCTTCCAAGGATGATTTGCGAGGCTATTGAAATCAAAAAAACATCCTAATTTCAATAGATAAGATGGCTGGATGCTACCATCTGCTTGGGATCCCATAATCACTAAATTAAATCCCAACCCAAGCAGACAACTGCAAGACTTCAAGATACTTAATAATTGAACTTAACCATGACATTGGGACGTCATACACTCAGACTTCATTCCCCCCCCCCCCCCCCCCCCCGTGGACCAAGGGTGCTATAAAGTACTCGAAACGTCGAGAATATAAAATAAGTTAATATACGCAATAAAATCCGTAAATCTAGTTTTATTTAAATGTGTAGTCTTCGCGTAAATATAAGAATTCATTAAGCAACTTTCTATTAACAACTAATAAGTTTAAAGAAACTGCGACCTCCCGAGCGTGGCAAATATTTCCTTTATAAAGGAATCTATGGGGGAGGCCTATGTTCAGCAGTGGACTTTGGATAGGCTGTAACGGTAATCTACACTGAGCACCTAATTATCCGCCAACTCTTTTTGTATATAAGTACCAATGGCAGATTCACAGGTTTTGAGTTAAAAGATTCCGTATAGTGACGGTTAAGAATATCCACTACCCTCAGTATCATCCCGTGGGTGTTGTGAAAGACGACAGAGAGAAACTGAGCTACGAGATGGGCAGCAGCATCTTTCTGATAACAGCAAAATAACAATAAAAGTACTGCGGTTGCCAACTCGCTCGCCAAGCGTTGCAATTATGGCAATATACCCACGCACCCTGAGGACTGATGAGAAGATCCTGGAGCTGGAAGAAGAGATAGACAAGTTGCGCTGGGATATTATAGGATTATCTGAGGTCCGAAGAGAGGGGGAGGACACGGTAATCCTTGAATCCGGCAAATTGTTATATCACCGGGGGGGGGGGGGGGGGGGGGGGGGATCTTCTGTCCCAACAAGGTGTTGACAGATGATCGTCTTGACTTGCCTTGACTTGACTTGTGGACGATAAACCCACGAGAGACTCGTAGGTTTATCGTTCACAAGTCTCTCGTTGACAACGTTGTAAAGATCGGAAGTGTGTTGACGAAGGTTGCGTACCTTTTTTATACTATACTAAGCCCACTTAATTAGAATCCCTCCTGATGGTAAGTGATGATGCAGCTTAAGATGGTGAAGCGCTCTGACTTAACAAAAGTCTATTCACTCTTGCTTTGAAGACACCCACACTGTAATCGGATGGAAAGACAAATGCTGGCAACTTATTCCACTCCTTTGCTGTACGCATGATGAACGACGTGGCGAACCGTTTGGTTCGAATGTGTGGTAAGTCAAAGTCAACAACGATGGGACGAAGGGTGGAGACTGGCCGAACGTCTGGTTGTCCGATGGTGGAAGGGAGAGGGAGGAATTAAATTATGCAATTCCTGCGCACACTCTGTAGAAAACCGAAAGGCTACTTTGCGCCTGAGTTCGAGGCTGGTTAGATTGGTTTTAACCAAATTTGGGTCACCAATAAGCCTCTTAGCACGCCTTTCTATTGAGTCCGAAGCTGCTAGGTGGCATTTTGCAGCACCAGCCCATATATGGCAGCAATACTCCATACACGACTAGACTTGCGCTTTATATAAAGTAAGCAGCTGTTCCGGCGCGAAGTATCGCCGCACATTTGCAAGAACTCCTAGCTTCCATGCAGCTGCTTTGGCCTAGGACTCAATGAACCGCCCGAAATTCTGATTTGAGGATATCTCAACTCCCAACAATTTAAGGCGGTCGGTGTATTCCAGTTATACATTTCGGAAAGGAGCTATGATCCTTCTTTCCTCCTGCTCCTTTTTGCAGTGAAGAGACACGATTGTGTTTTGGAGGCGTTGAATTTCAGAAGATTGGCATCGCCTCATTCAGAGATTGCCTGTAGTGTGACATTCACACGCTCTACCATAGCTTCTCTTTCGGACTGGATTTGATCCCAAATGGCCCGAGGACTTGGTTTGTATCTCTCCACAACTGTGCTATTCGTCTGCATACCCATAGATACCGAGCATAAGCAGATCATTAATATGCAGCTGGAAGAGAGTTGCGGACAGAACGGACCCCTGAGGAATACCGGCGTTAGCCGCCACAGGATCGGATAAGCAGCCATCGACGACGACCCGAAGAGACCGTTCAGCAGAAAGTTCTTTAACCAATCAATTAGACCAGGGGATAACCCGTAATCTGGAAACTTACCCAAAAGGCTAGCGTGCCAAACTCTGTTAAAGGCCTTCGAGACATCAAGGGAAACAGCAAGTGCTTCCCCACTGTTCTCGAGTCCCTTGCTCCATACGTGTGTGGCATACGCTAACGCACAAACCTTTAGAACTATAGCTGGTATACCATCTGGTCCACTAGCTTTATTCACGTCTAAACAGCGCAAGGTTTTAAGAACCTCCTTACTTGTTATACGAATCTCCGACATAGAGGTCCCGCAGTGAGGTAATTTAGGTGAATTGTAGGCAAAGACAGACGCGAAAAAGTCCGCTTTCTCTTTAGCCGTATGCGCCAGTGTGCCATCCGGTTTTACCAGCGGAAGCAGTGTAGGCCGACAGAAGTTTGTCTCGACTGCTTTAGCGAGAGACCAAAAAGCTCTAGTGCCGGATGGTCTGGCAGAGAAATTTGCGCCAATTTTTCCGAAATGCTTTTTTTAGGACTAGAACGCAACAAACCGCAAAGCTCCGGATATTCTTAGAGTTAATATCCGGAGCTTTGCGGTTTGTTGCGTTGTTGTTGTTTGATGGTTGCGGTTTGGTGATTCTGAGTACCTATAAGGAGAACGGTATTCGGTGAAGGTCATACAGGTATACGCACCAACCTCAGCACATCCCGATGAGAAGGTAGAGGAAAAGTATGAGGATATCTCTAGAGCCTTGCATTCCTCCAAAACCCACTATACGGTGTTAATGGGAGACTTCAACGCAAAACTAGGCACTAAATAGAACAGTAAACTGAAGGTGGGGAAATTCGGGATAGGGCAACAAAACCAAAGGGGCTGGCAGCTTACCGAATTCGTGGAGAAAGAATGACTCTTTATGATGAACGCTTTCTTCCAGAAGCAGTCCCACAGAAAGTGGACCGGGTCGAGCCCCGACGGTTCGACAAATAATGAGATTGACTTCATTATAATGACTAGACTAGACGAAAACTTTTCAGTGATGTCTCAGTGATCGCGAGAGTGAAAACTGGCAGCGATCACCGAATGTTGAGAGGCACACTGAACCTAAACGTTAAGTTGGAGAGGTCACGTCTAATGAAATCAACGCTCCATTAGATGCTCCAGTTTTCAGCAGATTTGACGGCATACAGGCAACTGAACAGACAATTCTCAACTTCAATACAGCTCGTATTGAAGGAGTGATCTCTGGAGTGTCTCCGAAGTCTTTGCCAGAGATCTGTTTGCCAGAAAGGAGCTAACATAAGGAGCAGAGCTACACACAAGTCTGAATAACGATCCAAGAGCAAGTCTTATCGGACACTATTCCGATGATATCCCGGAAGCCAGTCTGAGCGAGATTAGAATGGCTTTCTAGTACCTTAAAAACGGCAAGCCCCAGGGCGAGGATGGAAATACAGCGGAGCTTCTGAAAGCGGGTGGAAAACCAGTACCTGAAGTCCTTCAGAAGCTCTAAGCTCTTTAATTCCGTCCACCATGGTGGCACTACTCCGGTGTGGTGGTCTTATTCTTCAAGTAAGGCGACAACGCTCTCTTGAAGAACTAAAGACCGATTTTCCTTCTGAGCCGCGTCTACGTGTTGTTTTCGAGAGTCATCACGAATGGTCTCGCACGACCACTCGACGACTTCCAGCCTCCCTAACAAGCCACATACATACCCTTCGGCAAAT